GAAGAGACTCTTTCTCTGATTATATGATTTAAGCTTATCTTTACAACTCTCAGAGCATAGTTTATACAGGCCTTTTCAAATCTAATAACAGAAGAAGAAATTGAAGCTTCAATTTTCATTGCTTTAATAGAAGATGATTTGAATGCTTTCAGAATTCTTCTCAAGGCTCTGTTTTACAGACTTTGAAAGAGTTCAGTGAAATTCTCTTAATTATTTCATCAAACTTGAACTTCATAATCAGCTACTGATGTAATACAGACTATATATAACTGTCTTATAGCCTGGAAGAATAGACCTCTCTCTGTATTTAATAGTCTGATTATGTTGTTCAATAGTCTTTCTGTCTTGACAGTTCTTTATTAAATATGATATTTAAAATTCAACTTGAAGTTTAATCATACTTCTAATTATTTAATATTTACACTGAGTTTAATCTCTCTATTCAAAAGAGTTAGAGATAGTTCTTTCTCATTGAATCTAGAAAAGAAATGAATTAACTCAGTTTTATTCATATTAAATTGAATTTAATTGATATCTGCTCTAACAAAGATTTTCTTTACAGCTTCTTCAATTACTTTCAAATTCTCTTTGATAGTTTTTAAGCTGTAGACTAGATCAATATCATTCATATAACTCAGAGATCACACTATTCTCATATTTCTATTTTTGAATAGATATACAGTGTATATTTGTAAGAAATCCCGCTTCTCACAGATTCTTTACCTCTATTTCTATCTCTCATGTAATTAATAGAGCTAGCGGCTCTTGGCTACACACAACTATATAGACTGAAGTTCATGAATACTATTCATAACTCAGCTTGAATACTAATATACATTTTGATCTCTACATTTTATCTTTCTATCATGAATACTTCTAGTAGTTAATAGTATATATCACATCAAGCTGCAAACATCTGAATAATCATCTGTGAGCACTTATTCTTACATTTCAAGCTGAGTCAGTCAGCAACTGTCTGTTATAACTGAAAGAACTAGAAACTTACATACTTCAATCTCTGTGAACTCTACTGCAGGCACTCAGAAGCAGTCATCTGAACTATGAATAACTCTTATAAAAGAAGTCTCAGAGAACTTATTAATTACTCACAGAATATCATTCTCTGCATCTGTAACAGAGAAACTCTCTGAACTCATAAATAAATTAATCTCAGTGAAGAACATTCTTGAGCATCTCTCATAGAATTAAGCTATTTTTCTACAAGAAATACTTACTGTCTGTAAACATTCTTGAACTGAGTCTCTAGACATAATCTTCAGAGACACTTATAAACTGAAAAGAAACTTTCTTAAGCTGCAATCACTTAAAACTACTTATCAAATCATAATCTATAAAAGCTTTTACAAGTTTGCATTTAAAATTGACTTATAAGTCTGACTATGTAACATGAAAGATGAAGAAGCTGTTATCTATATAATGACAGATCTCTATTACACTGAAGTCAAGAACTGACTAGATTATTTAAAGAATAATTATAAGAGATTCTGCTGATCTGTTCTCAGAATCTATCTAGAGAATAAGTTAAGAGACTTTACAAGCTGAACAGAGAACATCTGAGCTGTGATTATTAATATTAGAAAAAGAGATGAGAAATCTGATAAAGACTACTCACAGCACTTTATAAAATTATGATATAAATTGAGATCTGTGAAAATAGAGCTCTGAAACAAGACCTGAATAATGATATTTATAAAGAAACTGAATAAAGATATGCAGAATAAGCTCATTGAGTAAGACTCTAAATTCTTAGTTCTGAAGAAACTAATGACTCTTATTCACTGCTTATGAATCACTGTGAGAGTCACAGACTTACAGAGAGTAGATCACTGATCAGCTCTGTGAGAGCTAGAATAACAGAGAACAGATTTGTCAGAAAAAGATAATAAGATATAGAGAGATTCATATCTGACTACTGAGCAGAGAGAGAGAGCTTCACAAGCTTCTATAAATAGAGTGTATAATAGAGAGATTAAGAAAAAAAGACTCTGCTTTATCTGTTCTAAATCAGAATATTTTCATACAAACTGTTCAAACAAATTAAAATAGAAATTTGAGAAGTTATGAACAGAGTCAGCAACAGTCTTCTTAAGAATCTTGAAGCTGATATCTGAATCTATTACTTCTCTGATGAAAATGCTTACTTATAGAGAGAGATTACATCACAGTACTACTGCTCTGTAAGTATGAGAAGTATTGATGAACTTAAAATCTCAGGTCACTGTGATGTCTCTAAAGCTTACAGAGTAAATGAGCTGAAATATGAAGACTGAGAATCTGCTCTTATAATAAGCAGAACATGAGAACTCAGATCTGAGAGCTGAGAGACTTATAAGAATCATCTTTGAATTACAAGATCTCTCTGAAATCTGAAGAAGATTTGTAGAAATTATGATTATTACAGATATTACAGATAACATGTACTTAAGACTTATATAACTTCAAAGATATAATCTGTACATAGCTGTCTGTGAGTCAGGTTTATACTTCTGATCAGTGTTGATAGACTCACTTACAGAGATAGAATCAGTTGATACTGCAGAGTTAATTAGAGAAGACAAGCTCATCTATATAATAACTTTATAAGTGTCTGAGAATCTTATGATCATGAAAACTGAGCTTCAGATATTAGAGAAATACTGAAATCTTACAGAGATATTCAGCTCAGTAAAGACAGCTGAGCTTCTCTCTCACTGTAAGAAGAATCTGACTATAGATTTAATAGAAGAGTAGAAACTCTTCTGAGAATCAATCTATAAGCTCTCTTATTATGAAACAGAGATCTTGTGAATCTATGTAAAGAAGAATCTGAAGAATGACTTTATCTGATCTTTACAGATCTCTGTAAGAGTCTCTGTGATATTTGTGAAGAAGAAGAATAAAGATCTCAGATTATATATAGATTATTATAATCTGAACTTTAAGATAATAAAGAGCTGCTACTTTCTATCTCTGATTGAGAATGTAATTAACTGTCTCACAGAAGCTGTCATATTCATATAACTAAATATAATTAATATATATACACAGCTGTAAATACAGTCTGAGAATGAATAAAAGACTGTCTTTAGAACTGCACTGAAATTATTTGAATATCTAGTGATGTCTTTTAGTCTGATTAATATCTCTATAATATTTCAGTCTTTCATTAATAAAACACTTTATATATATCTGAATATTTTTATAATAATATATCTGAATAATATGATAATATACTCTGTAAAGAAGAAAGAACACACTGAGTATATATGAAGTATATTAAAGATCTTAAATAAGACAGAACTGTATATTAAGCTTATAAAGTACAACTTCAGTATCTACTGAATTAATTTCCTAGAATATGTAATCACTGCAGATAATATTCAGATAAAATCTTTATAAGTTAAGACTATTCTATCATAATTAAAGTTAATTAATATTCATAAGATTCAGATCTTTCTAAGCTTTGTGAATTTCTATAGATAGTTTATCTTTATATTTATAAGAATCTTCTTAACTCTTACAGACATACTGAAGAATGAAAATAAGAAGAAGTCATTCTATAAATAGAGAATAAAAAGATTATTGAGAAGAAAGAACTGTAAGAACTTTCTTATCTCAGAAGCTTATAGAGTCTTTATAAGATTAAAATAGATATTTATAGATACAGTGATACTGTTTCACTTTAATCTCTTACTCTTAATCAGATTAAAGACAGATATCTTCTTCTTTATAATTTCAGAAATAGTCTTATAACTACAGTTAAATAAGAACTGAGTTTCAGTAGTCTTTTTCTCATAGAAGATATAATCTATGAAGATCAACTATAATATTTATAATTAGAAGCTTCTTATAATAGTGAAATTCTTCTATCACTGATATCACTACTTTGAGAATCTTGTAATAGTGATTACTGTTAGAACTGATTATAACAGCTTATAATAGTTTACTTCAATTAAGAAACTCTTATAGTAATAGATTTACTGAGCTTAGAGACTGAGTGAGTTCTGATTCAAGATAGAATATATTAAGAGAACTAAGAACTCAGTAAACAGACTCTCTTACAGATCAGACTATATTAAGAAGATCAGAGTGATAGATATAGAGAGACTAGAGAAGACAGAAAAGCTTCACAGAATACTTAAACTGAGTATTATAAAGAGATTAACTGAAGAGTCTCTCAATTCTCTATAAGAGAAGAGAGAGAAGAAAGAAAAGAAGTCTGTATAACTACTCTCTATAACACTGAGAGTCAACACTCTGAGAATCTTTATAAGAATTCTTGAAGAGAGTATCTATAATCTGAAGAGTTTATAAGCTTTAAGAAGTGCTGTGAAAGACCTGATGTAAGAGAAAACAGAGTATAAGTCTTTATAAGATCTTCTATTCAGATTGTTTAAACTGCAACTGAAGAATGAATATACTCAGTATATTCAGAAACTACTTATAACAGAGATTAATCCTGCAGAAATAAAGAATTAAAGAGACTTAAATAATCTCTTATAAAGAGAGAATCAGATTTATATACCTGTGAATAAGTTTCTGTGGCGGGCTGCGCCCGATCAATCATATAGACTATTCCATTACACTCCATAGATTCTTCCATTCCCGATCGCCGATCCGCGGCCGCTACGAACGCGCGTAGTGTATGCTCCGATTCTCAGCCATTCCTGATCACTGATCCTCGGCCGCTACGAACGTGTGTAGTGTATGCTCTGATTCTCAGCCATTCCTGATCACTGATCCTCAGCTGCTATGAATGCATGTATATTCTTCCGCCCCGAAGCTCCACTGCATACATCACCACATACATGTATAAATATCCACCTCAATCACTGATTCTCACACTTTCTCTTTCTTTCCTTCTCTAATGTTTTTATCTTTGTTATATAAGACCTATCAATATTATACTGATCTATTCGGCGTAGGCCCCTTACACTATAAAAACGCTCATCATCTCCTTATTAGGAAATGATTATCCATGCATCATCTCCTCATTAGGAATGATTATTCATCAAGAGATATCTGAACGCGTAACAACGCGTAAGAAATAGAGAAACAGTCAAACAGTTAAGTGGACACCGAGTCCCCAGATAGAAGCTTGCTCGCCAGTCGCCCTGGCCCCGCAACAAGATCTTACGAAGAGAATAAGATCTTACAAAGAGAACGTCAGCGAAAGACCCGAGAGTTCTGACACTCAGACGTATGAGAATACGATTACACATCCGACGATCGATACAACCATGTCTAACGATAATATGGAACCCTCGAACTCGAACATGAGCATAGACGCAGTGCCACAGTGGCTCCGAGCAATGTTGGAACTACAACAACAACAAATAGCTGATATGCATGCAACTCAACAACACCAATATGAAGAGATTCAATGATTATCACAAGGAACCCATGCAATTCCAACATCTACAGAATCAAATACAAAAGCGCTGAAAGAATGCTTAGGTGCTTCTGCATATTTCAATACTTCTGATCTCACTCTCTACTCATCATAAAGAATGAAAATGCTCATGAAACTGAGTGTAGATGAAGATTTCATCAGTTCATTAATCAATCAAGATTGATATATCAATGAATGATTGAAAGATTGCATGAAACAGAAGTTTCATCTATGAATGAAAGCATGTGAATCAGTGTTGCAAATATCTAATAATATTATGAGACATCTTGATATTCTGTTCTGAGACACTGTTATATAATAGAAAGTATTAGATTGATTACAGAGTATCTGACAGAGAAACACTTCTCTTACAATATTCATCTCTGACTTTAATATCAAGATTCTAGAAGCAGATAATCAGTTTTGAGAGAATTGAATAAAGATTAGCATGCTTAAGAAGATATTAACTTTCAAACTCTTACAGACTCTTGTAAGTGTAGATAAAGACTTAACTTATGAAGACTTCTATATACAGCTCTGAACAATGAATAACTGTCTTATCAAGCTTAAGAATATACAGAACAGTGATAGAAGATATTACATCTCAGTGACTTATACACTTATACTGAGAAATAACAATGATGCAGATGCTATGAATTGAGTAGACTTAAATATCTATATATAAGTAAGAGTCTCTGCTATCTGAACAGACTTCTGAGTCTCTGAGATCACTTCTGAAGAAGTTATCAATCAATATTAATATAGAGTGTGTATTAACTGTAACTTATTAGAATACATTACTTTTAACTGCTGATTAATCTATATATCTTCTTATTTAAAGAATGAATCAGTGTCTGTTCACATCAATTATATTATATTAGAGAAAGATTCAGAGAATAACTATAAGAATACTCTGATGAAACAGAGAAAAGATTAGCTTCTATTCAAATTTATAAACAGAAGCTTAAAGAGATCAGATGATAATAATTTAAAGAGAAGATAATAATGAATATAATTCTTATATCTACTATAATTAATAACATGTATAATATGAAGACTATGATAGACAGTGATCTATATCACTATGCAATGATAAAATCTTCAGTTATAAGATATTATAATCTTCAGCATATTTCTCTATCAAAATCTCAACTTCTCACAGAATTTGATAATTTAAAAGATATTTATATCTGTTACATGATAAAGCTGATTATAGATGTAGAAGAACATCAATATGAAGATGTCTACATGTATAAAGTTGATAATCTTGATTATAATCTTATATTAGAACTTGTCTGATTATCTGAATAAGATATCTTATTAAATGCTTAAAACAGAAGCTTGATATTCTCTAACAATAATAGAGTTCATGAAGATAACATTTACAAGATCATGAATCTGACACAGATCTCTGTCAATGTGTATAAAATACTCTGAAAAAGAAGTTATTATTAAAATCACTGACAGAGTCACTGATAGTAAGACTGTGTATCAATCTATTCTATCAGTCTGATTAATATTAAAAAGACTCTAGAAAAGTTATTCTGTATTATAATAACAGATTCTCATATGAAACTCTCTTAATAATATCATGAATATCTAGATATCTTCTGATAAGATAATATTATAAATATATCTCTCTTATGAGATTCTGAAGTGAATCACAGTATCAAGTTAGAGAAAAAGAATGATAAGAACTCTGAACTGTCATGAGATTCTCTTTATAACATATTCTGAGATGAACTTCTTCTTCTTTGAAAGACACTCAATGATCTGTTAAATAAAGAATTTATATATATTAGTAACTCTTTCACTGCAGTCTCTATTCTCTTTACAAAGAAATCAGATAAAGAACTCTGATTCTGTGTAAACTACTGAGATCTGAACAGATTGACAAAGAAAGATTGATATCTCTTATCTCTTATCAATGAAACTCTAGCACAGATCAGATGAGCTCAATAGTTTATAAAACTAAATATTATTACTATGTTTCATAAGATTTGTATCACTGAAGAAGATGAATAACTTACAGCATTCTGAACATGTTATAATCTCTTTGAATAAATAGTCACACTCTTTGAACTGACTAATGCTCTCAGTACATTTCAGAAGTATATTAACTGAGTACTCTGAGATTTTCTTGATAAGTTTGTATTTACTTATCTAAATGACATTCTCATCTTCATTGATGAATTCAGAAAAGAATATCAAGAATATGTATAAAAAGTATTATAACAGCTATGAGAAGCAGAACTATCAATAGATATTGATAAGTGTGATTTTGAAGTCAAGAGTATCAAATATCTGAGTTTTATTATAGAAGCTGACAAGAGAATTTGAATAAATTCTGAGAAAATCTCTGTCATTCTTGAATGAAAAGCTCTGTGTACTGTGAAAGATATATAAAGCTTCATCAGATTTACTAACTTCTATTAATAATTTATATAAAACTTCTCAGATATCATGAGATCACTTACAGATCTCACTAAGAAAGACTCAGTATTTCAATAATCAGTAGATACTGAAGCTATATTTACACAGATGAAGAAGATGTTTATTAATACTTCTCTACTGATAATCTTTAATTCTGATTATAAGATAGTTGTTGAAGCTGATTTCTCTGACTATGTGATAGAAGAAGTGATATTGTAATATAATGATAAAGATATTCTATAATTATATATCTTCATATCTAAGAAACTGAGTCCTGCTGAATACAATTATAAGATCTATGATAAGAAACTTCTTATAATTATACACTGTTTAAAAGAATGAGACTCTGAACTCTGAAGTATCTCTGAGTTTGAGATAGTCATAGATTATAAGAATCTCAAATACTTCATAACTATCTGTAAACTTACTAAATAACAGATATAATAATCTGAGTTCTTAAGCTGCTTTCATTTTATAATACACTATTATTCTGACAGTCAGAACTCAATGACAGATGCTCTCTCATAATAAGAGTAAAATATATTATTCAATGTAACAGATACTCACTGAATGAACTGAGAGCACTGGCTCTTAAATCTGAAGATACTAGTTAATCAAGATAAAACAGCTTATGACACTATACATACTTCTTCAATTAGAACTGTCACTGATATCTTAACTTCTCTCAAATCTATATTAGATGAGCTATAGCATACAGCAGCTTAAACTGATAAACTTCTTTAAACACTCACTGAAGCAGTATGATAAGAAGTACTCTGATTTTCTTCAGAATTATAAGTAAGAATTAACATCTCAGAATATTTAATCAATGATAATAACACTCTACAATTCTATAAACAACACTGAGTCTCTCATTTCAAACTCTTACACACTCAGATAATGTAAGAGATATATGATTCATGTATAACTGATTATTCAGACTGTGAATAACTGTATAGAATAATCTTCTGAGAATTCTATTAATCTGAGATATTAAACAGTATCAGATATTTTATCTGAAACTGTAACTACTGTTCTTCTATTATCTCATGAAAGAACTGTAGAAAAGATCTACTGAAATCACTTAATATTTCTGATAGAATCTGATAAGATATAATAATTGACTTTACTGTTGATCTATCTGAGAGTAAGAATTGTAGAAATATTCTGATTATCATGAATTGATTGAGTAAGAGTGTAATATTGAAATCTTGTAATAAGATAAATACTGAACAAGTTACTGAAGTCTTATTATTATTATTATTATTCTTCAATTATAGATGTATGCAGTCAGAGACTATGATATCTACCTGAGAACTTTAGTTCTCAGGGTTTTTTCTATGTCTGTAAAGTTAACTATTGTACATTCATCAATTTCAGATATGCAAAATCAGAAAATTCCAGCTCAGAATACAAAAACTGTTTACAAATTGCAGTGTTTTAACATCTTTTGATACTTTGAAACCATTTGACAATATCATGACAAAAGAAAAGAGAGAAAGAACACAGTCTCAAAGATAGACACATTAAATAGATAGATAGAAAGAAATTGAAAGAAAAAGATACAGAAAAAGAAAAAGTAAAGAGAGACTATAACAAAACAAATTCTTAAAAGAGAGTGTATAGCTGTTTTAACAGACTATATCTGATTGATTTCCTTCTCTTCATATTCAGATAATTCTGAATTTAGTCATTTTCTTGTATCTGCTTGAGTTTCTGATAGAAAGTCTATTAAGTATTTAATTCCTGTCTCAGTTGAGAATAAGAATCTCATATTTAATTAATTTAGATCATATTTCTCTTTCAATCTGACTCTGAGACTATTGTATAATGCACAGTGCATTATAATATGCTCAGGATTCTTATTTGAATTGCAGAATGAGCATTCTATTGAGTCAAATCTATCATCAAATCTTTGTATATAAGATTTGAAATAGTCATGTCCTAGTTTCAGCTGTATTATAGATGAGAATATTTTCTTTTTACATTTAATTTATAACATGGCGGAACCGAAGTGGTGGCTAGTCGGCGGTGTTACATAGAGATAGTTGTTTTGAGAAGTTGTATAAGTGAGCTTGACTATCTTGCTTGAATAGCGAGCTCATAGGCTACAGAGTTATTGCAAGAATATCACAGATATAATACTTAGTATACTAAGAAGATTGTATAAGACATGCAGTAACTCTTGTATATATTTCAGTAGAAGTAAAACAAATCACTGACTTCTTTAATGAGAAGCCAGCATCTAGCTATTCTATATAGACAATGAGTAAATACTCTTCTCTCATTTCATGAGCAAGAATAGCTGAAGTGATATCTCAGCAGTATCTTATTATCAAGAAAGAGTAATCTGCTGATCTTATATAGAAGTGAGATTCTCATATTCATTAATTGAATCTTTCTATAATACATTCATATAATGTTATAGAGTGATTGAAAACCAGTTCAGATGAGATGAAATTATTCACATGAAAGTAATGAGCTGTGTGAAACTGCAATGAGGTCTTGACATGGTCAGAAGTGTGACAATACTCTTTCTCTTAAGAGTATAGTCTCTATGCTCTCAAGATTACTGAATTAGAAATTATCTTTATTATATAGTAACAGTTATCAATCAATTGACAGTGTATATACTGTGTATAATATAAAGAAATAGATGAGTTATTCTACTAACTGTGTAGATCTTTCTTTTCTCATCTTCATTCAAATCAAACACATGATAAGTGAGTTTCTTATATATCAATTTGAGATAAGAAAAACATAGTTAATAAGTGACTTATAGATCTCTCATCATATTCTGTTCTATATATAAAATTCTCTGCAAAAGTGATGTATTTTAGAGACAAAGCTGACAGTAGTAACAGGATTTTTTAAAAAGATTCTCTTCTCTATGAAACATTTTTCTTCTCCTCTCTCTCAATCATAACAGTGAGTGTATGAGAGTATCATTCTTGAAGAACAATCAAGGACTTATTCTGATGTTTTCTAGTGAGTAAATGTCTTCATGATGTGGCAGCAGCCTCTGTGATCATCAAGAAAGCCAGGTTGAAGGCAGAGACAGCAGTGTCACTGAGCTGTGAAAGCACTGCTCTCATTGTCACATCTTCTTCTTCTTCTTCTACTTCTCTTACAGCTGCAGCAGTAGTCACTGTGCCCTGCAGTGAGGTGTCATTTCTTCTGCTGATTGATTCATCTGTGTTCAGTTCTTTCTCTGCCCTTCTCACCGCCGTTGTGACGCTGCCTCCCCCCCTCATCAATACAGTGATGTATGACCCTGTGTGATCATTCAGAGAGGAACTCAGGAAGAGCTTGATTCTAAGAACAGTGACTCTGAGAAGCTTAATCTGTAGTTTCTCTCTCACATATCTGAGCTCTGCTTGAAATGCTGCTGAGTTGAGTCTGCAGAGTTCTGTGATTTCTTCATCTTCTCTCTGTGAGAAGGCTTCAGTACAGTCTCTGACTGATACTATCACTTATCTATACTATACTAAGCAGCTGAAGAAGAAGGAGATTTTATATACTTATCTCTTCTCTCACTTCTGTTATTTTTATTGCACTTATAATAATGACTTCTGTCTCTCTGTAAGTATTACTTCACAGAAAGATGTTATATCAGCTCTGATAAGAAGCCTAGATACTCAAGCAGTACAGAGTGAGAATCTCAGAGCTCTAAGTATTAACAGATTCTATTAAGACTGAGAAGATTCTTCTTACTTATCTATAAAAGAAGATAAAAGCATGAATCTCTGAGATGAAAAAATATCTCAGAATAACTGACTTTAAGAAAAGATCAGTCAGTGCTGCTGTTAAAAGTACTGCAGAGATTAATCACTGATTGAAGAGAATCTCACTTCAATTGAAGTAGATAACTGAGGTGTTTTATAAGTTGATAAGTTGATATTTCATGCATTTCTCATGCTCTTCTGTAGTATACTTCTCTACAGCATCACAGTGCTAACTTCTCAGCAGACAAAGATATCAGTATCAGAGACTTTAACAGTGAAGAATGAGTTTAATGAGAATGTAATTATTGATAAGTAGACTCTGATCTCTCTTTTTACTTTTTCAGCAGACTGTGATCTCATTAGAATAGCAGCAGTTTGCAGATTGATAATATTAATCTTTTTTATTAATTTCAAATATTTCTTTTCTTTTAACTGCTTTAGAAATGTTACACTTGTATAGTTTCATTAAACTTCTAAAAATTCTTTAAGAGAAAATAGAAGAAGAGTGCTATAGAGTTTACAAAATATCAGCTTATTACTGTAAAATCATCTCTAAAAAACTCTTTGAGAAAAATGAGAAGTCTTAAGTGATATTTCTTACTCAATATCTCTGATATATAACAGAGCAGTCTCTACTAGCTATCTTATAGATTACAATCTCTTTCTCAGCATTTTTTAAATACTTAAGCAGTTCTTATGAATTCTCTGATAATGAATAATCTTCTTATTTAACAAGGTATTGAAGCTTATTATAATGTATTCACTTATTTAATATTTTCTTCATAAGATATTCAGTATCACTCTCAATCTTAATATTATTCAGCTGAGACAGCTCTGCTCTGAGACATTGCTTATAGAGCTTTAAATAGAAAATATGAAAAACAGAATGAATTGATTTTAATTCTGTAAGTAATTTCAACTTATATATCTGCTTACTTATTACTCTTATTATCAGAAAAGATTCTAGTTACTGCTCACTGAGCTTCTTATACAGTCTCATTGTCTTGATATTCTTTGCTAAAAGTAGCACTTGATTCTCTATTAAGAACTTCATTGAAAGATGTTTTTAATTATAGTATTTTATCTATCACTTCTGAGCATAGTGAATGCTTTTCATTGTCTTCTTATAAATTTTGTTCAAAAGTTTCAATCTTACTTTTACTTCTAATACTGAGAAATACTTCATTCTCTGTATCTGTCTGACATTCTGACTGTCTATTTCTCTCTTTGAAATATCATCTGTGACATCACTGAGTAACAAAGAATTATATTTATAATAAGTATAGAAAGAAGATATCTTTAAGATTGTATTCTTTGTATTATTATATATGAATTCAGCAGTCAGAAGATGTTTGAGTCAATCATTTTAATAATATAAATAGAATACTCAAAGATGCTATTCTAGTATCTGATTCTGATATTCAGTCTGATTATTGATCTACAGATGAAATACAGTACTGAGAAGACATCTTATCATAAGATAATAGTAAAAAGCCAATCAGTACTTACTGATAAAGAGAGATTCTTAATCTGTTATTAATGATTTCAGAGCACTGTAATCATAAATAATGATATCTAATAACAGGTCAGTCAATTCAGAGGCTTTAATCTTTTTATAAGTAGAGATATATCTGATCATCTTTGTGAAGTAGTTAACAATGACTAAAATTGAGTCATATTCTTTGACTCTTGTTGACTTTAGCAGATCAACTATGAAATCTATTGATAGATTCTGTTATAAGCTCTTTAAAACAGGCAGTGATGTCAACTCACTGTATTACTTATATCACAGAATCTTTATTCTTTGACAGATATTATAAGTCTTAATATACTCTTTGACATCTATTCAGAGCTTGTCTCAAGTGTATTTACATTTTAGAAGCTTCTCAGTCTTCTCTAATCTGAAGTGCCCTATATAAAAATCATTATGATAAATTCTCAATAACTTCTGATGCACTGCTCTACTATAAGAGATAAAGACTGAATTATTCAGCAGTAGAAGTTCACATTCTTCTAGTTATCAGTGACTTAGTTTCTTAGTGACACTGCTCTGCTCAGAGTCTGTCTCTTTCAAGTTTAAACTGAACTCTTTCTTCTTTAACTTCTGAATTTAAGCTGCAGTAGAGATATCTCTCTTCTGTAACTTATTAATAAATTTCAAAAGTAGTTGAATTGAAAGATTGTAGACTGTTTCATTCTTTATCAATTCAATAATTGTAAGATATGATATAAGAAGCTTATAATCTTCAGTGTTAGTTCTCTGCAGAGATCTGAATTCTCTTTTATCTTCTATACTGAGTTACACAGCTGTCTCTTCAGTGCTGTTTCTGAGCTTTAAAGAACCTCAACTCTCTGCAGCCAGCTTCTTCTGCAGTGATAACAGAGATTCTTTTATAGAATTCTTCTCTGCATCAATGATATTATAATTAAGTCATCTAAATAGTGTATTGATAAGGTTAAGCTGATCTGAACAGTATTAGATATAGAAATCATACTCTGAAAGCAGCTTCACTCATCTGACTTAACATTCTGTCAAGCTCTTTGTTATTAAGAAGTAACACAGATTTGTATGATCAGTGAGAACTTGCACTGAGTACTTACTACTCTGAAGATAATATTATCAGATCTTAAAGAATTTGACAATTACTAACATCTTCTGATTATGAGTATCATATCTTCTCTGCATGAGTGATAACTTCTTGAAGAAGAAGATCACTAATCTTCATTTACAGTATCTTATAGACTCTGTGAAAAAGTCTTCTCTCACAGATAATTCATTGTCTATTTTTTCAGAGATGATTATTCTCTGATTCTTTCAATATTGAAAGGTCTTCAGTGTCAACTGTGAAAAGATTTCACAGATCTCATTTCTGAATATGTCAGTCTCACACTGACTGAGTAAGTCAGAGTTAAAGTGATTCAGTATTGTAACATCTGTAAAAGCTTGTTTCAATTCTGCAAACATCTGTACAGTGTCTTGAATGAGAATAAATAATTCTGTTTTTCTGTCTTTCACACTTTTCTTTAACAGATCTGTAAGAGAGACAGTAATTCATGAATATGTATAGATGAATCATCTGTAGAAATTTACAAATTCTAGAAATATCTGCATCTCACAGTACATCTGCAGTACTGATCAGTTCTCAATAACAGAGATTCAGCTTCTATTCATTGAAATGCTATTCACTTCAATAATATAATCTAAGAAATCAATCTTCTGTATGTAGAATGAGCATTTTTCAGTGTTTATATAGAGTTGATACTGTCTCAAGTGACTCAACACTTCTTGAATATAAATATCATGTTCTTTCTCTGATTTCAAGAAGATTAAAATGTTGTTCAAGTATACTATGCAGAAGATGTCAACAAGGCCTCACAGTATCTTATTTATATAGATCTGAAAGATGACTGAAGTGTTACAGAGATCAAAAGATAAAATAAGATATTTAAAATTACTGTACTTGATATGAAAGACTGTTTTTCAAATATTGTCTTCATTAATTCTAATTCTATAATAGATATTCTGTATATTAATCTTTGAGAACATCTTTACTTCAGATAATTAATCAATCATCTCATCAATTAATGATAGTGAATAGTGATTCTTAACTATCATCTTATTGAGATCTCTGTAGTCTATACATAGATATAGTCTATTATTCTTCTTGAGTATAAAGAGTATAGATGTCTCTGTCAGACTCTTTGATAAATATATTCAGTTCTTTGATTGTGCTTCTTCAAGATATTTGTGCAGAATATTCAACTTCTTTATAGACAAGTTGTAAAGAGATCTGTACAGCACTGTTGCACTGTCTTTAAGATGAATCTTATATTATATCTTGATATTAGGAAACTTCACTGCTTCTCTTTCTGAAAAGATATTCTTAAAATCTGTAAAGAGATGTTGTGTATATCTATCTTCAATGACAGATACTGCTGCTAATCTTGTAGTGAGAATGATGACTTTCTCATCTATTCTCAAGTCTTAATCACCTGCTATGCAGTATATTAACTCAATCTTTTTCTCAAGATTCTTTCAATAAAACTCTTCAGATTTCTCTATTACTGTCTCTTTATCAGTGAGACAGTATCATCACATCTGAGTAACTCAGTTAATGAGAGAATTGTTTTCTCTCAATTATAGAAGATCTAGAATAATATTCTTATCTATGATATTGACTGTGTGAAGAAGCAGACTGCTCTTCTTAAAGATTTCTTCTAAGTCTGTGATCACATACTTTATCTGAATTATGTCAAAACAGTGATATTTTATTTCATCAGTAAATTTCATATGATCTGACAGATCTATCTTCTTTCAACTCTTTATCAAAGAAAAGAAATAGAATATGAAGTTGATATTCATTCTGAAGTCAAGTAGACATCTCACTGATATCTTCTCATTCAGAGTATGCATTATGATTGTAATATGAACTTGAAGATATGAGAATTATTAATTCTTATCTTTCTCTTCTTTATCTTTCACAGATATATTTGTCAGAAGAGAAGTTGACTTTGAGAAGATATCTTCT